TCGGATGGAGGGCGGGCAGTGACCGCGTGAGGCGGTCACGTGTCCCGCCTGAAACTAAGAGCGCGCCGCGAGTCTCGGGCGCGCTCTTAAAGGGACAGTGGGTGCCTAAATTGGAAAAGGCATCCCATTGGTCCCTGTCATGCCACACTCCCCATACACTTACCTTTTGGGGGCGTGGATGTGACAGGGACCAATCAAATTAGATGTTTAGGTATTTATACTCACCTTCTTCCCTTTGTTCCTTGCCCTATCGTGGTTTCTGTTTCAGTTCCCTTTAGCGCTTGTGGTGTTCAGTTGTGTTTTCTCGTATTGACTTTGGCTTCGTATTCTGACTTCGTTTTCGCTTTATCCTTATCTGTACTGTTTGCCGGCTTGCTGTTTTCCGTGTACCAGACCCCGGCTTGTCCTAGTTTACGCTGTCTCTCTGTGCCCTTGACCTCGGTTTGTTCCTGGCTCTGTCTTCTTTCATATACGTCAAGTCCGGCCATTCTAAGGTCCGGTAGACGTATCTCTCCTCTGTATTTGCCTCTGTTTAGCTGGATCCTGCGTGTAGGGGTATATTCTCGTTACACTTATGGTCTGAATGTTGATTTTGATTTGTTAAATTTTTTATAAATATGAGCTTTTTTCCCTTTTTTTTATATGTTTTTACATTTGCCCACTATTTTACTTATCATATAAATTGATTTGTTTTCTTCCCACTCACCATGCCTGCGCTTATTATTTAGCAGAGCAGGCATGGTGCTGATTTTTATCTGTTTATTTTTATCTGCATAAATTTCCACCTTATTTTATTTATTTCATTTTATTTATTTTATTTTACTCTTTTTATTTTATAGATTTTCCCCTTATTTTCTTCCTCCCCCCCTCCCTTAGTCGGCCGTAGCTTGCCGACCTTACTGGCCCCATCTCCATGACGATGGCCACAGCATTGTGTGAGCCGTCGTCTACCCACATCCTGATGATGGCGGCCACTGCCTTGTGCGTGCCGCCGTCATCAGTATACCCGCCCCTTGCTCCTCCCACTGGCGTCTGGACGCACTTCCCATGCGTGCAGATGCCTGCCATCAGCTCCCCTACACGACGCTGGCGGCTGCGCAGTGCCGGCCGGCGTCGAACTACATATCCCATCACTCCCTTCGGTTATGATGCCGGTCATGTGACCGTGCATCATATAGTTTATTTCATTAATAACCGATCGTTTTTATTATTTAATTATATGTTCTGAATAGGCTTTTTTATTTCTATCCCTATGTATCTCATTTATAATGTTTTAATTGTGTTTTACTGAATGCAATTTTTATCTGTAATCTGATTGGCTGTCCAAATTTTGGCGCCAATTTTTGAATTGTCTGTATATGCTATTTAAATGATCTACTGCCAGGTATCAGGTTCTTCACCCATATTGATAACGCCGATTGGCGAAACGCGTTTATGTTTTTTTTATTTTGTGTAATGTTACAATTTAAGTATATTTTATAATCTTTTATTGTACCACTTATCTTTTAATACACATATAATTATTATTACTACCTTGCATCATTTACTGGACTCCAAGCAATCCTAGGTGGGGATTATTCCACCAGCGCGAAATATCAGGAGCAGTTGACCTGCTCCTGTCTTGTGAGTATCCACTTTTATTTTATATTTTATTTTAAGTTTTATGCAGAGAACACTATTGGCTGTCTCTTTTTATTTGAGTATCTCTCACACTACGGAAGGAGGAAGCACGTGAAGGATAACCATTCCATATCCCACAAGCGGGGATTTAAACCGCTGTACGCCTTCTATACCAGAGCAGGTTCTAGCTCTTGGATATGTGAGTTTGCAATCAAGTTTTATATTTTATTTCTTTTACATCAAGATATACTACACCATTGTGGTTCTGTATTTGTTTTTATCTCTTGCATACGAGACGGTCTACAAGAAAGACAGAAAGCAAGATTATTGTTTCGGACTAAGCACTACGGACATTGCAAGATAAGACCTTCTTCCTTTTTATCCATTTATTTTATCTGGACTTTTAATATCTTTTAAGTTTTATCCAAGCGCAGCCCTTTCCTTGTATTCTTTGTGTTTTATCATAAGGGTTCTTGAGGGATTCCCTTTTAGGGTTGCTGCTTATTTGTGTTATTTAGCGCTTACTCATTGTTTTGGTTTTATTACTATTATTATTATTTTTTTTTCTACAACAAATTACATCTGCAGAAGAAGAAAACAGAGAAAGGATGCTAGGATAGATGTTCCATGAATTAAGAGCTGTATCCTAAAAACCTCTGGAACACTGTAGATCAATCAGCATCCTAGCAGGTAAGGGTTCAGCAGTCACGTACACCCTACTCCAACTCACTGTATGGAGGTAATGGACATGAGATCGACATAAGGGTACCTATGATTAGAGTTGAGCAAACCCGAACTGAAAAGTTCGGGTTCGTACCGAACATTACGTTTTTTGGACGCCGGACCCGAACACGGACATATCACTGTATGTTCGGGTTGGAGTTCGGAGTTCGGCGTTTTAATAACACGTTTTAAAAGGCTGCAGGGCAGCCAATCAATAAGCGTTTGACTCATGTGCCCTTAGAAGCCATCACAGCCATGCCTACTAATGGCATGGCTGTGATTGGCCAGTGCAGCAAGTGACCCAGCCTCTAATAGAAGCTGGTCACTTAGTATTAGTAAATTATGCCCCTACTCACTATACCGCGAGTAGGGGCGTGTCTATTAAAAAGTGAGCAGCGAGTTCCCCCAAAAAAGGCCAAATAAAAATCCAGAATAACCGACGCACTTTAAAAAAAAAATGAGCGCAAAAAAAATAAATAATCCTTCTTCACCCGTGGAGGGCTCAGCACAGACTGAGCTCTGCAGGGCGGGGGAAGGCTTATAAAGCCTTGCCCTGCCCTGCAATTAGGCTCAGAGCACTCTGATTGGTGGGTTTAAGCCATCCAATCAGAGTGCACTGACAGGTAAATGAAGAGGCTGACAGGTAAGTCTCTACATTTACCTGTCACAGCACTCTGATTGGTTGGCTTTAAATCCACCAATCAGAGTGCTCTGTGTCATTTTACACAGCGTGGGAAAGTTCTTTGGAACTTTCCCACGCTGTGTAAAATGACACAGAGAACTCTGATTGGTGGATTAAGTAACCAATCAGAGTGCTCTGTGTCATTTTACACAGCGTGGGGAAATTCCAAAGAACTTTCCCACGCTGTGTAAAATAATACAGAGCACTCTGATTGGTGGATTTCAAGCCAACCAATCAGAGTGCTGTGACAGGTAAATGTAGAGACTTACCTGTCAGTCTCTTCATTTACCTGTCAGAGTACTCTGATTGGATGGCTTAAACCCACCAATCAGAGTGCTCTGAGCATTATTGCAGGGCGGGGCAAGGCTTTATAAGGAGGGGGGTGACTAGGGGTTTGGGGACCCCTAGTCACCTGGGGGGATTTTTATTTATGACCCCCACCCACCACTCAGGGGTGGGGGCCAGGGGGGGGAGGACATTAGGTTCCCCCCTTATTGTTATTTAGGGCCCTCACCTTAGGTCCCCCCTATTGTTATTTAGGGCCCCCACCCACCGCGCAGGGGTGGGGGCAATAGTTTTTTGTTTGTTTGGTTTTTTTTTACAGTGAGCAGCCACTGGCTGCTCACTGTTTACTAGACATGCCCCTACTTGTGGTATAGTGAGTAGGGGCTGAATTTACTAATACTAATATTTACTTAGTATTAGTAAATGTGGCTGAAAGATCAATTTAGGTCCTTCAGCCTTTTGGTAGATAGCTCCTTAATACCGTGGGAATTAGGGAGTTATCTACTAAGCGGCTGCTTATTTTATGTTATTTTTAAGTGATTTCCCTATCCACATTTGTTTGCAGGGCACTTGTCCAACTCTTACCCCCATTTGACTTCCTTTTGCAGCCCTGTAGCCCTTTCCAGGAGTTTTTTAGAGCCATTTTTGTGGCCAAAAGTTCGGGTCCCCATTGACTTCAATGGGGTTCGGGGTCAAGTTCGAGCCCAAACCTGGACTTTTTTTCAAAGTTCAGGCGAACGAACCGGACCCAAACATCCAGGTGTCCGCTCAACTCTACCTATGATCACTAACTCACAAATGAGTGTACAAACATTTTGGGAATATCTTCACAGTTTACTAAACCCCTTATAAAATGTTTGGAGGATCAAGAATCGTTTTTGGGATGGTTTAGATTAGTTGTTTGTGTATGACTATTATTTTAATCTATATTAATAATAGTTGTATTACACTATTTATAATTTTGTTATTATGCATGGACTTATGTATAAAAGAGGTATACTTCAAGTGTGTTATATATAGTAAGTATGGATTTAAGCAGTTTTTTAGTTTTTTTATTTTTTGAAAAGAAAGACTTTTACAACCTACAAATAAGTTGTAGGCGAATATCAATATATACTTATTTGGCAGGGTCAGGGAAGGCCTAACTAAGATTGTATTCCTCATGATATTTCATCAAAACATTGTGATATACATTATACCTGCACATAGATTTCTTGCAATTAGTCCAAAAAGAAAAATGTGCTTCCTCTCCTTCCTTACACACAACCTACCATCTGTATGCTGGCCCAACTTGTCAATACAAGCTCGAAAGATGCACAGCATAAAAAGTGTGAGAACATATTTTTGCGTAGAGAAGCCATTTCAGTGCTGACAAGCTACACCTTTTTCCTGCTCTCAACTGTTTCCAAGTAAGTTGCATTATTATAGATGAAATGTACTTGTTGTTCCTCACAATGCCTTTTAACCCCTTAAGGACTGGACTGTTTTTGCGATGTTGTACATTTGCGACCAGGCATATTTTTACACTTTTGTGGTGTTTGTGTTTGGCTGGAATTTTCCGCTCTCTCATTTACTGTTCCCATACAAATTATATATTGTTTTTTTCAGAACAAAAGGGGCTTTCTTTACATACCATTATTTATATAATCTCATGTATTTTAATTTAAAAAAAATCACTCGCCCCACAAGCATGTCGCAGCAGAAGGGTAAGAAAATCCCTGACAGGGCTGAAAAATCGGGCTTCTTCACGGCGAGATCCGCGTCTTCCAGAGCCCAGGGCCAGCATGAGGCAGACCAAGATGGCGGCGGAGACGATACCCTCCCCCTCCATAACTCACCAGACCCTGGGAATCTCCCTGTGACACAGGAGTTCCTGAGAGCATGCCTGGACGAAATGTCCGACAAATTGCTCAACAAAATTCAAGCATCGGTCACTGCATTGGGCAAGGACATCCAGGAGCTGGGCGAAAGAACGGCCCACGTGGAAAACCGCATGGGCGAATATGAAGAGGCCCATAACGACCTGACAGACCACGTTAAAGCCCTGGAACAGAAACTCACCTCAGCCCAGCTCAAACTCTCAGATCTGGAGGACAGGTCACGGAGACAGAACCGGAGAATCCGGGGCATACCGGAATCGATAACGCAAGCTGACATACCTGAATTCCTGACAGGTTTTTTCAAATGTCTCATACCAGAAATACCGACTGAGATGATCCTGCTGGACCGGGCCCACCGAGTAGCCAAACCGAAGTTTCTACCAGCCGAGGCGGCGAGAGATACGCTGACCCATCTAAATTATTATCATGTCAAAGAGGCCATACTCAAAGCTGCCAGGAACCGCACAAACCTTCCAGCTAAATATGGCCATCTACAAATATATGCTGACCTATCGGCAGCCACCCTACAACGCCGAAGGGAGTTCAAGGAGACTACGGAAACGCTGCGGGACAACAAGATGGGGTCACCCGGTGCGCCTGATTATCCAGCGCAATGGCACCTTTACACATGTAACGACGCCGGAGGAAGGCCTGAGGGCCCTGAAACAATGGGACCTACCAGTTCGCAAACAACACGGACGCACAACCTCACCACAGCGATTGAGACAGGACTGGAAGAAGGCGAAAAAGTAACCCGAACTCCATCAGCCCATATCCAGTTTTAAGGAGTACAGATACAGGACTGAATGGCGATGCCACCTGATTGAGGAATTCCCCACCTGGTATTTTCACCCCACACCCTATAACACCTCTAGCTTAAAACTTACTCATAGTTATGAAAAAAAATAAATAAAAAAAAATAATACCCACATATAGTTAACCTCAGATATACACAGCATTTGGTTAACTGCTCCCACGATCACTTCAATGCCAGCGGCCCTTTAAAAAAGATTGCTGCCACGGGGGTCACCCATCCCCTCAACTCAACAGAAGATTGGGGACGCACAGACCAATTGGCCTCTCATTGGAGAGTAGCCCGGACAGGGACCTGTGGAACTAAGTTAATGGAAAAAAACAAAAAAAAAAAAACAATGTTTTTGTTTATGTTTTTGAAGTAATTATATCACCACGTGGTATGCAGAACTATTGAGATAAGCGTTAGGGCTAATCGTACAAGATATTTGTTAATGTTTTTGTTGTTGCCTACCTCCATGGTACCCAACCTGGGTACTCAGCCCACCTTGGGCTCTGCGGTCCTTACCGCACTGTTTTCTATTCTTCTATTTTCCTGTATTAACCTCTTATCCTTCCTCCCCTACCCAGACCACACTAGACAATCCAAGGACATGTATCTGCATAACCGTACCGTTCCAGTACAGACACAGAGAGCCCGGAGAACAACGCAACCCGCCACGGATGTGCCTCACGCGGATCCGCCAGAGCAGCCACTCAGCAACACAGCAAGTATATACTCCACGGCACCACTGCCTATACACATCACACTAGACTCAAGTACCAAGACATACAAGGGCACTCGGGGAAAACACAAATCTAACGATGACAACGTTACAGATAGCACCCCTCACAGACCCTCCCTTTATGAAGATATATAGTCACAACGTAAGGGGGCTAAATTCCCCTGTCAAACGCCACCTTCTACTTCACGACCTCCTAAAATCCCAACCAGACATAGTATGTCTCCAGGAGACACATCTCACCAAACCATATCTCCTTAAACCCCTCGCATACCCATACCAACAACACGCTACAGCAAAATCCAAAACGAAAGGGGTCTCTGTGCTAATCAGCAACCGAGTAACATTCACCGAACACGACACGAGGAAGGCCGATACATCATACTGGTATGCACAATCAATGACATTACCTACACCATAGCAAACGTGTACGCACCCAACTCAGAAAAACGCAACTTCCTACATAAAACACTAGCCAAAATATTCCAGAGGGGAATGCTAATAATCTGTGGAGACTTTAACCACATTCTAGACCCTGGGTTAGACTTGTCCAAAGGTCCTACTACGAAAGGGAACAACCCAGCCAGGAGACAATGCACCACATACCAGAGACTACTAGACGAACATAATCTCTACGACACGTGGAGAGTCCTCCACCCCGAGGAGAGAGACTTCACGTTTTTCTCCTCGGTCCACAACTCTTACACGCGAATTGACAGGTTCCTCACGGAAGGAAAACATCTAACACAGGTACTCAAATGCACAATAGAGACTATTACGTGGTCAGACCATGCACCTATTACTATGGAACTAAAAGACAAATTCGAGGGCCACAACAGAAGCCCCTGGCGGCTGAACGAAACACTCTTACACGATAAAACGTTCGCAGACCACGTAGAAAACACACTTAAACACTACTTTAAAGAAAACACCGCACCAGAGATCTCAGCGGAGATCACCTGGCTAGCCCATAAACCCGTAATACGTGGGGAACTGATCAAAAGAGCACATTTCCTTAAACGGACGTCCCACGCACAAAAGGTCACATGGTACAAACAACTACACGACCTCAACAAACTAAACCAAACGAGCCCATCGCCAGAGTTAAAAAGCCAAATCTCAGACACACAAGACAAAATACAGGCGCTCGCAATTACGAGAATGGGCTACTCACTACGGAAATTGAAAGCTACTCACTACTCCCAGGGCAATAGAGCGGGCAAAATACTAGCCCAAAAGCTCAGAGACAGACAGGCAACATCTAAAATAGCACACATACAGGACTCACAAGGAAACAAGTTGGTTGCCCCGAAAGACATCTGCGACGAATTTGCCACGTATTACGAAACCCTATACAACCTAAAGAAGGACCCACTAACGCCCCTAAAAACCCCCACACAGATGGACATTTGCCTACAAGATGCCCACTTGCCAACCCTCTCACAACAGCACAAAGAAGCTCTCTCAGCCCCTATCACCCAACAAGAAGTAAGGGACACAATAAAAAACCTCCCAACGGGTAAAGCGCCAGGCCCTGACGGGTTTGCAAACACATACTATCACAAATACGCGGACATCCTGGCCCCTGCACTGACCACTTTATTTAACAGCGCCATAGACAACCACTCACTACCATCGGAACTGTTACAAGCGCATATCACCACCCTCCCCAAACCAGGGAAATCCCCGACCTCATGCCCAAATTTCCGACCGATATCCCTACTCAATACAGACGCCAAAATCTTCGCAAAATTACAAGCCAATAGGCTAAAAACTATCCTACCGGACCTCATACATGACGACCAAGTGGGTTTTGTGAAGGGTAGACAGGGCTCAGATAATACACGCAAAGTTCTAAACTTAATGCATAGCGCTAGAAAACTGGGAAGGGGGGGCCTATTCGTCTCCCTAGACGCGGAGAAGGCCTTCGACAGACTCAATGGACCTTCTTAAACAGGGTACTCCACAGATTCGGCTTTCCCCCAAAGTTCGTGGCAGCGGTAGACGCACTATACAACGACCCGTCGGCACAAGTTATGTACGCAGGATTCCCGTCACGGACCATAAAAATCTCTAATGGCTCCAGACAGGGATGCCCCCTCTCCCCTATGCTTTATGTACTGGCTTTGGAGCCACTGGCATCCAAAATCAGGTCAGACCCGAACATCCATGGCATCCCTCTAGGAGATAAAGAATTCAAACTAAACATATTTGCAGATGACATCCTCCTCACCCTAACCCAGCCATTCATATCCATGCCCAACTTAATGCGACAAATAGAACTTTTTGGCCACCACTCCCACTATAAATTGAATGTCTCCAAAACACAGGCGTTAACGATAGGAGTGACTAAAGAGGCGAGAAACAGACTAAAGGAGGCGTTCCCCTTAGACTGGAGGTCGGACTATTTAACGTATCTAGGACTCAAACTCACGAAAAAACCCACAGATCTCTTTCACGCAAACTATATTAAACTCTTAACAGACATCGACAACACCCTCAAATCATGGGAGGGGAAGTTCCTCTCATGGCTAGGGCGCATAGCAGCATTCAAAATGTCACTGCTCCCAAAACTACTATACCTCTTTCGAACACTACAAATACCCCTATCAAACACCTACCTCAAGTCGATCACCGCATTATTTCTGAAATTTACGTGGCAACACAAAAAGAGCCGGGTAGCCGCTAAGGTCCTGCAGAGGAGGATCACAGACGGCGGCCTGGGCATCCCCAACCTATACCATTACTACAAGGCAGCGATTCTAAGCACCATGTTAGCCGCACATGACCCCCATTACACACCCCAGCCTTTTGGCTTAATGTAGACCACATACGTCATACCTTCTGGACTGATAGCGCTCGGAGACCAAGACCGTTCCAAGGCCTCCCCACTACTCGGTTGCTGTTAGACACATGGGACGGGGTAAGGAACACTTTAGTTACCCATCCAAAGATACCGTTGGCGACCCCAATGCAATCCATAAGCCTGATGATTCCTACCTTTAACCACAAGACATGGATAGAGAAAGGCGTCACCCATGTACTACAACTGTACGATGGGGAGCACCTCAAATCCTTCCCTAGCTTACAGGAACAATTTGACCTACCCGCGAAACTCCTATTCTCCTACCTGCAAGTCAAGTCCCTACTAAAACACAACCCTCCCAGAACCCCTGAGAAGGTACCGCAAGAACTAACATCTAAGTTCGAAAACATGTGCCTTTCTAACAAACCCAACGCCAAGTCCCTCTCCTCATGCTACCACTTAATCTTACACAACCAACCACTGATCCAGGACAACTACCGAACGGCATGGCACACAGACCTAGGCATAGAGCTAAGCCTAGAACAATGGAAAAAAGCTTACTCAGCACACAAAGGCCTGACATCATGCGCCCAACACCTAGAAATACAACGGAAACTATTATACCGTTGGTACCTAGTGCCAGAAAAAATACACAAAATATGGCCCGCCTCTACAAACATATGCTGGCGCTGTGAGAAAGAAGTGGGCACGATGTTCCACGTTTGGTGGACATGCCCCGCACTCGCACCTCTCTGGACACAAGCCATACATATCGTATCAGACATGCTAGGCTACCAAGTGGACAAAAACCCTGTGCAATGCATGCTGTACGTATTCCCCGACAGAATGCCCAAAGCTCACCAAGCAATACTGTACCACACACTAGCATCAGTACATATACTCATAGCGAGACACTGGAAATCCAAAGACATACCGTCACGTACACATTTAAGAAACCAAATTGCACTCAACTGGTCTTATGAGGCCATGTACCAACACCAATTTGGCCCGAGGCCTGCATTAGCTAAGGCGCAACTACTGTGGGATAGATACATAAACCAAGCTGACAATACCGCAACACATTGATTACTAGCGGACAAAGGCGAAATCCGTGGCGGGGGACGGGGGAGCCCTGGTCTGGGACCACGAAAGATCAGAATCCGAGAAGCAGAAGGAACTTGCCGCCCACCAGCTCTTCACCATACAAGAACCCCTACCAAATCACCTGAGAACCCTAGGGTTATACCTCCACGAAACCCCCCGTGTTGCACCTCCCTACCACCCCTCCCTCTCTCTGTCTCCCCCCTTTCTATACCCCCCTATAACTATACTTTCTCTCCAAAAATATTTGAGACATGCAGCTGCAGGATTCATGTACCTAAAGTAGTTAAGTAATATTGGAAGGTTTACCATGATGTTACCAAATTACCACACCATGTATGTA